GCGCTTCGCCAAGTCGAGGGGAGTCGATCCGTCCTATGCAAAGCAATCGCAACCAACCCCACACAGATACCCAACCCAATACACGCCCACGAGAATCCAAATCGTATACCCTAAACCCTAAAAAATAAGCGCTATGCAGCTGTTCGAGCAGGGCATGTTGAATGCCTAATGCCACCACGTACGGCAGCAGCGATTCCCCAATCAGCGCCCGCTTTGAGGAGCTGTTCTGCACATTTCACGCAGTTTGTTTCTGCTGCACAGTGAAGAGCTGTGAAACCTTCGGAATCCGTCGCGTTGTAATCGGCCCCGTGCTCAAGCAGCAGTTGAAGGCAGGAGCAATCGTTCTTCGAGGCTGCGAGAATTAATGCAGGGGGGAAGGGGCTGGAGTAGGAAACGGAGGCATTGGAATCACGCCCCGTATCGACAGTGGGATCGGTGCCAGGATCAGATCCCGGGCAATTGTTGGGGTCTGCGCCGTGAGACAGAAGCAGCTTGAGGATCTCCTGCTGCTGCGTCACCGCCGCTATCTGCAGAGGAGTTCCCATAGAAGAAGTCGTATTGGGCTGAGTAAGGAAGACAGACAAACGCGTATGAATCCCCAATGAGGTCCTGTCCCACCTGTCCCGCAGGGAGACAACGATACTGAAATACACTCAAATAGAGACGAGAGTGAAATAGGCCGAGAAAGAAAACTAGCCTGAGGAAATTGACGAAATAACCAGCCTGATGGAGTGACAAATGGGGCAAAGAGACAAACAAGTAGGGAGAAAGACAGCTAGCCTGCCCTGAGCCTTCTTGCCATTATGTATTCCCTGAGTCTATTGATAAAAGATTATTAATGAGATATACAGAGGGATGAAAAACAAAGGGTGAAAAGCAGATACAGAATGCACGGGCATCGTCGCCAGACATGGGGTCAACAAAAAGGACAAAGTGAAGGGGACCGGTAGGCGTCCCCCAAAGCTCAAAATTGCAGCCCACATTTGCGCCTCTTTCAAGGAGCAGTTTAACAGCTGCTGCCTTCTGTGCATAGATGGCCTCGTGCACAGCGGTGCTGCCACCTTTGCTTCGCGCTGCAGCGTCTCCACCGCTGTCCAGCANTAGATGGCCTCGTGCACAGCGGTGCTGCCACCTTTGCTTCGCGCTGCAGCGTCTCCACCGCTGTCCAGCAGCAGCTTCAGCATCTCCGTGTTGCCTAGCGAAGCAGCAGTAAAGAGAGGGGTTTTCCCGTAGCTGTCACGGGCCGTGGGCGCCGAAGGACACACACGTAACACCAGCTCCAACACCTCAGCAGAACCACCTAAAGCTGCAAAGTGAGCTACTGTGCGTCCTTCTCCGTCGCGGAATCCTAACAGCAAATCCGGGATCAGGCCAAACTTTCCACACTCTGTTCCTTCTGCTGCTTGCGGAGCAGTTGCTGCTGGCCCTTTTGCTCCTGCTGCTGCTGATTCTCCCTCTTCTGGGGTCGCTGAGGCCGGGGTTTCCGTTCCTGATGCATTACGCGTGCCGTATTTCTGTGCAACTTTGTTGATAGCCGCGAGAAGTGAGTCTTTGTTGCCGCTGGCTGCAGCCTCCAGCAGGTTCGTGAGGAGGGCGCGGTCTTCCATGAGAGAGCCGCATTTGTCTCCCCCAGGGACTTCACTACTTGCACTGTTCGCGCCGCATGCAGCGTCACCACAGCCGTTGTTGGCCTGCGGGCTCTTTGAAGCTTTACGCCTGCCCGACATGGTAGTCAGGGCATAGGAGACTTTGGGCGACGCCGATGTTCAAGCCCCTCAATGTGGTTCGGGGAAGGCCTCTTGGTTGGTTNATAGGAGACTTTGGGCGACGCCGATGTTCAAGCCCCTCAATGTGGTTCGGGGAAGGCCTCTTGGTTGGTTACTCCAACAAAGAAGAAGCCGCAAAAAGGGAGGAATCAGGCAATGCTGGCAGCGCTAGAAGTACGGGAGATAGCAACTTCTGGAGCGCCAGCGCCGACGGGGTCACTGAGGCTAAACTACAGGGGGCTAAAACTTATAGCTGAAGGATAAGTACTGAGGTGCTTATGAAGCATATTCACTTTAATGCTGCAACACTATTACCTACTTGCAGTTCCTCTTCGTTCTTGCGGGGCTGCTGGGCCCCTCAAGGGCCCCCGAGCGGGGACCGCAGGCCAAAAGGAGCATCGAGGGCCTCAGGATTCCCATCAAGGGACGTCAGCCCGGTGTAATAGTTTTTCTGCATCCTTCCCTACTGGGTTTTATTTGTTAATTGCTTTATCACGGGTTATATAGGACCCACTGGAGGTCGGGCAGTGGGCTGTGTGTGCAACCATTTCCCCTTGCCTTTTAGTTCTGCTTTTTCCATCTTCACGGCTAGTACCTTCAGAAATTTTGCTTTGATCCAAATATAAATTCATCAGGAGAAAGCCCAACAGCCCTTTTAAGGGACTGAACACCCTCCGCTCCCCTCGTTTTCCCGTCTTCTATGGTTGTTCAGTGTTTGTGGTTTAGGGCTTGGGGTTGAA